GGGCAATGCCCATTCCTCACATGTGCTGACTCTGCCCAACACTCTTCTCAATGATGTGGCCTTTGTTTATTTTGTCTCCCCCTCTGGGAAAGCCTATTCCCCCTTTCCACATTTTAAATTGTTTCAACTTTTGAATGCATCTGGACACCACCTCTGCATGAAGCCAACTCCTGATTTTCCCAGATGAAAGTAATGTCTTCCTCCCTTAACCTCCCAGGACACTTCAGTTGGCACTAACTTATGACACTTAGCAACTTCCCTGTATGCGTGCTAGTTTTGCCTTATCTCGTCTGTTGGGTTGGCTTCTCGAGAGGAAGGAGGAGTAAGGGTCAGTTTGATCTTTCTGTAACAGGGTGTCAGCGGGAGCAGAGGGAGCAGAGCTTGCAGAACTGGAGGCTCCCAGCTCCTCTGAGTGTTTGCAGCAAAGGCTGCTGTTTGTGTGTTTTTTCTGCAGGAAGGCATTTGGTGGCAGGTGAGGGCTGGAGATGGGATGGGATCTAGAATGCAGGGCAGGGAGCATATCTGTCTCCTGCCCCATTTGAAGGGCCGACTTTGCTTAAGGGAAGAGTGCTTGGAGCCAGAACCTAAAGGGCCTGTGTGACCCTCTGGGCTCAAGCATCACTGCCACTGCGATAGTGCCTGGGACCCTATGTGTGAGGTGGGGAGAGAGCGTGCTGCTGCTGAGGCCACCCTGAGCCCTCTCAGAAACAACTCAAGAGGACTTTAAGGTGGGGCTGGTGTCCTTCAGGAATGCATGGGGGAGAGGGCTGGGGGCTTTACAAGGTGGCTCTGAAGGGAAAGGCGTCCTCACTGGTGAACTGGAGAGCCCTGGGGACCACGGGCACACACTAACTCCCCAGAGCCTGGCACAGGGTCTTCCTGCTCTTCACCATCTCCTCTGAGCAGCACAGTGCCTGGCACATGGCAGGTGATCAGTAATGATCCGTGGAATCAGTGCTCCATGAATGATGGTGATGGTGGGGGCAAAGGGAATGGGGTGTGGTTGCTTCCCCGGCTCCTCAGTTCTGGTCCCCCAGGAGCCTCCCCTCTGCCCTGGGCCCAACCCTGAACCTTGGAGACCACAGTTCAAGTCTGTTGGGCTGTATAAGGCTCCCCTCTGTCTTTAGAACTTATTTTCCACCCTGGGTTCAAAGGCAGCACCAGGCCTTGCTCAGGAAGTTTGGGGAAGTTTTAACTCTGGGAAGTCCAAATGGAGCGCCTCCCCTCTGCTAAGGGACAAATCCACGGACACATTGGATCTATCCCCTACTCTTCATTTTTGGCTTTTCTGTATGAAATCTCAGCATCTAGTAGAGGGGACAGGTCTCCCTCTTTTCCACTCAGCCTCTATCTATACCAGGGACTCAGGCCCGGAGAGGGAAAGGAGTTTTCCCAGAACCACACAGCAAGTTAGTGTCAGGGCTGGGACCAGAACTTGGGTCTCTGTAGCGGGTCTTATTTCAGCATCTTACTGTATCACTCATCCTAGGCCACATGGCTCCTGTTACCACTCCTGAAACCACCCCGGACAGGTATCTTCTGAGCCTTCATCTGAGCCTCTGTCTCCCTCACCCCCTGCTCCCTTTTCCTTCCTACCCCATCCATCTTGCCTTTTCCCCAGTTGATAAAAGATGCCCAGGTGACCCATGCTCTCCTCGCTCCTTCCCTCCTCTCTGGTTCCCTCACAGCCCATTGCGCCATCCTGAAGTCTGAGTGAACCTGTTTGCGGTATTTATCTGACTTCGTTTTAAGATCCCAGTTCTAAATTTCAAAACGTTTTCATTTCTCACTCATTAAAAACAAAAGAAGGAAAAAGTTAAATAACTACCCAAACCATTTGGACATTCCCTGGTCTGGGTAGTTATTTAACTAAGAACACCGACAAGGTTATTTGTGGGGCCTCTTGCTTCGCCCATGAGAGACATTTTTCTGGGGCTCAGCCCCAGGGGAGGTGCGTGAGCAGCTGCATCTGGGGGCCCCCATCCCTCCCTTGGGTTAGAATCTGGGCCTAGAGCCTGGAGTTGGCTCACTCCTGGCTCAGTAGGACCCGAGAGCCTCTCTCTGCTTGTCACCTATTGTGGGTCTCCTTTGGAAGCCACATTCTCCCTTGGGGTCTTAGTCTTCTTTCCCAGCAGCTGGCCAGGGACCACCAGAGGGGGGCCATGGTGTAAAAGCTGGCACCAGCTCAGTTCCCTTGTCCTGCAGGCTCCTCCAGGCTCCTACTCTGCCCGCAGTTATCACATCCTTGCTTTGTGCCGGGGACTGTGTCAGGCCCTTTCAAACCCCTTGTTTCAGCTAATCCTCACGGTACATTTCTATTGCACAGCGCTGCTCTGAGATTCATTTACCTGGCGGAGGCAAATGATATGCTCATTTTACAGGGGAAACTCAGACTCAGAAAACCTAGATGACTTGTCCAGTGTCATCGTTTTTAGGTTGAAGAGCCTGAATTTGAAATCAGATCCATTAAAGTCAAGTCCAGTATTATCCCCTCTAGACCACAGTGAGCAAACCATGACGAATACTGTCTGCCATTTATATAGTGCTTCTCAGCTTGCAAAATATGCTCCCTAATGTGTCCCTTTGGAGCACTGTTCACACTGTGCTGTAATTATCCTATCTCTACTATTAATGATATTCAGATATATAAATGCAATAATAGCATAATATGAGCTGTTCTGGACAAATGCCCTGAGTGAAGGTGGGGCACAGAAGAGCCAGCTACCAACTGCCTGGAGGAGTTGGGGAAGGCTTCCTGGAGGAGGTGACAGTTGAGTTGGGTCTTGAAGGCTGAGCAGGGCCTTCACCATGTGGAGATGAGGAGGCAGGTGCTCTTGGCATAGGCACAGGAGTGTGTTCTGGTTGGTGTGGTTGGCTCCTGGCATGGGGGCTGGAAGGTGGGAAAAGCAGATTGGGGCCAAGATTGTGTTGGGCTTTGAAAGCCATGGGGAGAAGATAGACTTTCTCCAGCATGGAAGGTGCCCCACTGAAGGGTGGAAGTACAGGGGTGCTTTAGGATGAGTCCTTGGCCACCCGTGTAATTCAGTGACCATGATCTTTGGGCCAGTATAACTGACTTGTGGCCCGTACAACTGAAGAATTCTAAAGTTTGTGTAATTTTAATTAAAATATAAAAACTGATACTTGGTTCTAGGATTTGCAAACTTTTAAGAATGTCTGGAACAATTTGGGCAAGTGAATCGATTTGGACATTTCAACTGTACATTTTATGCAATTAAATATAGAACAAGGATTCCTGATAAAAATTTGGAGTCTGAGTTGAGGTGCACCCTAAGTCTGAGATACACACTGGGCTTTGAAGCTGAAGAAAGACTGGGCAGTAGTTCATTGATAACTGTTTTGAATAGATTACATGTTACAATGATACTATTTTGGATATACTGGTTAAATAAAAAATAGGAAAATTAATGTCCCTGTTTGCTTTTCCTTTATAAAACCATGGCTGCCAGGAAATGTACAGTTACGTGGGTGCCTGCATACTGAGGGGCGTTATGTTTCTATCGGAAAGTGCTGTCTGAAGTCAGTAGGACCCAGGATGCCCCAGGTACCTGCCCTTCTAACAGCCCTTCCGGTGACCGATGCTGGTGGCCGGGCACCCTGCTTCCAGCAGTCCCGCTGTAGGAAGATCCCTGTGGGTACCGAGCAGGGGGTGTGGGCCTGGAGGGAGCCAGGCCAGGAAAGGGGCCTGGCTCAGGCAGTGGCTGTGGGTGGGGCTGACTCCCTGAAGGCTGCCGCCCACCCCTCATCTGAGCATTTCCTTTCACGGGCTTGGGTGCCCTCCCAGAGGCCTCTGCCCTGGCCTGGCCACTGGACCAGGGGTCAGGCGGGGAGCTGGCATGACCACTGGATATGGCCCCCATACCTGGGAGATGGACGCTGGGCAGTGCCATGGGGAGGTGGGGGTGGTGAGTACCCCTGGGAGGGTAACCAGCCCTGCCAGAAGCCACCCTCCAGGGATTAACCCCGTGCCCACTGTGGAGACCGCAGAAATGACCCCTGGCACGGAAAAGAGCCCAAGCTGGCCACCTAGTCTTCATCCTGGGAGGAGGGCCAGGAGCTAGTGGGAAGAGCTGCAGAGTAGTAAGGACTCTGTGACATGCTCCCCGCCCCAGCCAAAGCCTGGGTCACGCATGTGTGGCTCTAACTCTTTGCTCTTGTTTATATAAAGGTTCTTTGGGGTGGGGGGGGGGTGTTCAGGCTTGTTTTTCTGGGAGGAATTGGAGAAGACAGAGGAACAAGGTCTCTTTTCAGGGAAGCTGATTGTGTGTGGAACAGAGCCCTCCCCATCTAGCACCCCGTGCTCTGCATACCCGACACCCTCTGGGCGGGCGGCGCCCGGGCAGGCCCACGAGCCTACCTTCACTATGTCCTCGTTAATGTTCTTGGGGTCTCGGTTCACCAGGTCGATCTCCTTGCAGTGAATGTCCTTGACGATCTGGGCCTCCAGGTCTGTATGCTCTTCGGCCATCATCGTGGAGCTGGGGGGCCCGGGGAGGGAAAGACTTGGGGCAGGGACGGCAGCTCAGTGTCCCCAGACTTCTGCCCTGCTGGCTAAATAGGCCCCACCCAGCATGCCAGCTGACAGCTGTCCCACATAACTTCAGCCTGCCTCTGTCTAAAGCCTCTGTGGCAGGTCTCCAAGCTAAAATTAAGACCGGCACTCTGCTGGGTGGCCCGGCACTCCTTAAAGGGGGCTGCTGTGGGTGCTGGGCCTCACGTGAGGAGCAGAGGGCCTGGCATCCCCTGCTGTCACCAGCTTGCAGCTCTGCTGTTGGTGTGAGGTCCTGGAATTTGCCCCACCATGTCACCATGTTAGCGTGTCAGCGTTTGAGCTCTTGGGGTGGGGGTGGGGCCCCAGCTCTGCCTCTTGCTGGCTGTGTGAGGTGGACATACCTCCCCTCTCTGGGCCACCATGTCCCCATCTGTAGAGTGGGGCCCTAATAATAATAATTGGGGCTCCGCTTACCCTTGTGGAGAGGAGGAGACAGGCTCAAGTGTGGGAAAGGGCTTCACACAGGAACTGAAGCACCGTCTGGGAGAGCTTCATGTTAGAGTGGTTCATATCTGGCCTGTTATTTGGTGGCCTGGGGCAGGGCTGAGATTTTCCTACTTCTGGGGGTTTTCTCCTGGACAGGGGGTTGACGGAGTGTGACATGGGGGGGCCCTGGGGTGAGACAGGGAAGGGGACCACTGATGGGGTTGCCCACTCTCCCTTGTCTTCTTGACACCACGCGGAGGATGGGAAGTCCGTGCTTACGCTGCCCTTTGTCCTGTCACTAGTGATAGCTCCCCGGTACTCAGGGGCTGCGGGCGTCACTGGGCTGCTCCTCTCTTAGGTGCCTGCTCACTTTTTCTGTTCTCTTCCAACTCAGCCATCACTCGAAGCCTCCTCAGCATAAGGAATGAGGACTCTGCCTCCTCAGGGGCCAGGGCCTGCGCATCCGTTCACTCATCCATCCGCCTACTCATTCACTCAGGATTCGCTAGCAGCCGGGGCTAGCAGATCCATCGGCCTCTGTCCTTGCCTCGAGGGACTCATAGTCTAGGGGAACAGACTGTAACCCAGTGTGGCAAGTGCTACAGATCAGAGGCATTTCACAAGAACTTGCTTTAGAAGTCCACAGGAGGCAGTGGCTTACTCTGAGGGTACCAGGGAAGACTTCCTGGAGGAGGTGGCTTTAGAGTTAGGTGTTAAGAACAAGCAGGAGTTCACCCCATAGAACATTTCACACGGGAAGACTTATAGACATCAGAGGACTGGTGTGAACTAGGAAGCTGAGGAGTGCGCAGTGGCTGGAGCATGGGTCGTCTGCGGGGTAGGACAGGAGATATGGCTCCACTGGGGCTTGGGCTTGAAGAATCCTGAATGTTACACTAAAGAGTATGGGTTTTATCTAGAGGTGCTGGGAAGCCACGGAAGACTTCAGAGCAGCAGAGGGGCTTTATCAGATTTGTGTGTGAGGAACATCACCGGCGACTGGAACTGGGTGAGGTTTGAGGCAGGGGGTCTAATAAAAAAGCTGGAGGCAATAAGGGCTCTATGAGTAACTCCTTGGCTACTTACTAATAATAAAGATGCAAAATCATAGTGGCCTGTACAAAGTAGGGACTTTTTTTTCCTCTCTCACATAGTACAAAGAGGTAGTTCAGAATTTTCAGGTGGCCACTTGATGTCATTAGGCAGCTAGACCTCCGTCTTTCTGTCCTAGTCTCAAAGCCACCTCATAGGCACGAGGTAACTGCTGCTCTTCCAGCCATCATATCTGGGTCTAGACAAGAATAAAGGAAAGGACAGGGGAAGGAAAAGTGCCTGCCCGCTGAGTCAGCTCCAATAGAAAACTTTCCAGAAGTCCCACTCCACAACTTCTGTTTATTTCTCGTTGGTCACCCCTCCTGGCAAAGGGGGCTAGAAATATAGACTTTCAGCCGAGCACATTGTCAGCCCCACAGTGTCACTAGGGACAAATGGTTGGAAACTAGAAAACTCTGTTTCTAAACCTCTTAGGAATTGCCTGCTGTGGTTTTTTCATGCCCCAGCCTGGGCCCCCAGGTCCTGAGGATATGTACCTCCTCTGACAAAACGATTGGGACAAAGGAAGAAGGTTGTTGCTTGTGTTCATGTGGTTTAGGGCAGGGATCTGAGCCTGAGAGTGAGCTTTGTCCAGTGCTGGACCGGTCGTGCGGCGAAAAGCCGGGGCAGCAGTAATGTCACAGGGGGGCGGGGGGAGCCGCTGGGAAGAGACTCACCCCTACAGGAGAGGGGTGGTAGCAGATGATAGGAATGATTATGGAAATTGTATTTTTCAAAGACGGCTGCATCTATGCTCTTACAATGGAACTGTCCCTCCTCCCTCCAGGAGACGGGTTTGTTCCTCCCCTTCCATCTGGACGGGGGTTAGATCGCTCTGACTCGTAGAACACGGGATAACTGATGCGATGTGACTTTGGGCCAGGCCATAGAGGATGCAGCTTCCTGGCTCGGTCCTAGCAGGGTTCTTGCCCTTGGAACTCAGCTGCCTTATTGTGAAGAAGCCCAAACCAGCCCATGTGGAGGGACCGCAGGAAAGGAACTGAGGCCTCAGCTGTCAGCCTACATCAGCCTTCACACATGCTAGTGAATGAGGCTTTGGGTGACTTCAGTCCCGTCTTCAAGTCACCCCTAAACCTTCATGCCTTCCAGCTGNTGGAAACTGTATTTTTCAAAGACGGCTGCATCTATGCTCTTACAATGGAACTGTCCCTCCTCCCTCCAGGAGACGGGTTTGTTCCTCCCCTTCCATCTGGACGGGGGTTAGATCGCTCTGACTCGTAGAACACGGGATAACTGATGCGATGTGACTTTGGGCCAGGCCATAGAGGATGCAGCTTCCTGGCTCGGTCCTAGCAGGGTTCTTGCCCTTGGAACTCAGCTGCCTTATTGTGAAGAAGCCCAAACCAGCCCATGTGGAGGGACCGCAGGAAAGGAACTGAGGCCTCAGCTGTCAGCCTACATCAGCCTTCACACATGCTAGTGAATGAGGCTTTGGGTGACTTCAGTCCCGTCTTCAAGTCACCCCTAAACCTTCATGCCTTCCAGCTGCAGCCCAGACATCGTGGGACAGAGACAGGCTGTTTTCTCTGTGCCTTTTTTGAATATATAAACCACAGTGTCCATGAGCATTAGACAGTTTTAAAAAATATCACTATATTTTGGGGTAGCTTGTTTCATGGCTGTAGTAACTGGGACCATGAGTGATAATGGATGTCTGCCGTCTGTCGAGGCTCACTGAGTGCTGGAGCGATGCTAATGCCCCACGGTGTGTGTGAGTTGGCTCATTTGTCATGTGAAACGGTTGCAGCCTTGAGCTGATGGCCAGTGATGAGAGCCAAGGTTGTGGGGCAGCCAGTGTAGATTTTGGATTTCAGAGGAAGGAAATGCTGTGGCCCGAGGAGACCAGGGAGTGCTTTCCGAGGGTGGCAGCACTTCAGCTGGACTAGAAGGATGACTGGAGTCAGAGCGGCAGAGCGCAAAGAGGCCAATACCAGAGGCAGAGCTGTCTCTCATTTTATTATGACAATCCTGTTTCCAAAGGTGATGTGACAAAGAGCACTTAACCCAGGAACCGTCAGTCTTGAGGTCTTTTCTTGGCCCCATCACTGACCGGCTTTGTGACCCTGGCTCAGCTATTTACCTTCTCTGTGCCCAGTGTTCTCACCTGTCAAACGCGGGTGATGAACCTGCCGCAGGCCCGAGCACCCGTGGAGAAAGTGTTAGGAAGAACACACTGAGAGATGGGGCTTTCAGCTCAGCCCTGGGGTGATGTTCCTGATGTGAGACGCAGTGAAGGGAGGAGAGTGACTTTTCAAAGCCGATTTTGTGCCTGCGGTTTTATGGAGGACTCTGCTTCTTATTTTAAAGGCATTTGTTGCTGTTGTTTGGGAGAGAGAGAAAACTCTTCGAAAATGGGATGTGCAAGAAGACATAAATTTGTGGAGTGTGAAAAGAGGAAATAATAGGAAAGGTGATATAGACCAACTCACTGAGAAAGTTGTAGCCCTTCAATCGGAAGACTCAATTAACCGGCTAGTTTAGAGCTACCATTAACCAGCAAGCTATATCACTTATGAAAAAGTAAGGCCAGGGTGAGTAGTAGAAAAGGAAACTTTTTTGTTTTTCTAAGGAGCTCTAGATCTAGGCAGAGGTCTTCTATTTTCTGTTTACTACTTGGCTTTCAGGATTTACATTTAGAAGACAAATCACAGCATTACAGAGCTGGAAGAAACCCATTTTCTGCATTTTACAGTTGAAGAATCTGATGGCCAAAGAGTCTTGGTTGGTGGAGGGAAGAACTTGGGATTTGGAGAGAGAACTGGGAATAACTGGCCACATACCAATCAGCTGGTCATTTTCCTCTATGCTTCAGTTTACTCATCTATGTAGTGAGGATAAGAAAGCCATCTCCTCTGACCAGATTTTGGTGCATGATTCCTGCCAGATATTTTGGAGATTTTGGAATGGTTCCCAAAAAGGACAGTGTGATCTCAGGATGCATTAACAGAGATATATCTTATAGAATGATGGAGGTGACTGTTTTACTCAACTCTGCACTGGTCAAACTATATACTTGGAGCCTTGTTTGGACTCCATGGTTTAAGAGGGGTCCTGAGAAACTAGATCCTATTGAAAGAGAGTAAGATGGTGCAGGAGCTTGAAACATCTTATGGAAAACAGAGCAATTTGGGCTGGAAAAGAGAAGATTCAGGGAGTAGGGACAGAAGAACTTTACTTCTGGGCTTCAGGCATGAGATTTATTCTGGATGGTCCCCAGGACTGGTGATTAAATAGAAGTTTTTAGCTTCACTCAACCTAATGCCTGGCTCATAGTAGGCCCTCTTGATAATGATAGTTGATAAGATTACCGTTAAGGGTACCAGAACACTGATTCGGTTTTCCAGAAGTGTAACTGGCTGCTTCAGAATGGAGTGGGCTTCCTGAGGCCAGAATTAT